GAACCGCAGCTCCATCTATTTAATCTCTTATCTCTCTTGCTTTCCTTTATCTTCTGTACTACGCCTTTCACTAGGACTTCAGAGTTTATGTGGGCAAGTTATCGGAACAGCACAGATGCAAGGAGCTGTGCTTGTAAATGCGGTTCAGGAACACTGGAGGGGAAGTGTTATCAGCAGCAACGACATGGGCAGCTTTATCAGTCGTGCCGTGACCAGTGGGTGCAGAGACGGTCGTGCCGTGACACAGAGAGGAGGTTCAGCCCTCAGCGTGAACGCCGGTCCCTTCCCTCTGGGTCTGCCAGGCGTGCTTTTGCAGTACTGTGACTATTGCTCTTTGAACTGGGGGTGTAAATATTTATATGTCTATTTTTATCATTTAATTATTCACTCGTGCCTCTCTGTGGAACCATTTGCTCTTTTATCCTCCCCTTCCTTCCCAGGGTTGCTAAGAAATTAACCAATTTTAAACAATCCCATTTATCCTGAGACACGAACTCATGAAATACAGTGCAATGATTGAAGTATAGATAAAGATACGCTTCCATTAGTCTGAACACATACCTGTCTCTGTTTAATACTGGGAGATTCCATAATTACACAGAGAAAGAAGATCAAAGAATCCCATCCCCTGGGTCTCTGCATAAAGATTAAAGATGAACTTCCAAGCTCGTTGAATCTTTTGACACGCAACATTTAGGCTTAAGTCCCTTTACTTTCCCCTTATTTGTGTTTTGCCTCTCTGGATGGCTAATTATTAAAGGGGATAATGAAAGAGATCCCTTCCTCAAATTTATCCAAGATATTCATTAAAAGCCCTATGCACAGACAGATGGATACACAAAGGGCCAAATTTAGCTCTTCTCTTGACCTGTGCAGCTGCCACAGAAACCCGAGGGGTCTTCTGAATTGTGCCTCACACATCTTCAAAGGCATAGCCCCCTAAAAAGGATATTGATACATGCAGGGATCTATATTATTTAGCATAGAAACTTAAGCAAACGTGGGTTATAAATGCACAGACAAATGCTTGCACAGGCTCTGTGTGCAGTTTAAACGTTTGAATTCACGTGTCGAATGTATACTCTGGGATGAGTGATAGTAATACCCATACTATCCCCATGGGCAAGGAGAGCACAGGGAGGTTAAGAAATACGCTTGATGTCAGATAATGGGACTGAATCCAGGTTTCCTACTCCCCTGCTCTAGGGTTTGATATGAAGCCCATTGATGTCAACAGAAATGCTTAACTGACTTCAGTAAGTTTGGTTAAGGCCCTTAATGTGTCACGCTTCATCCTGGTCTCCTCTAATTACCATACCTCTATGATAATCCAGAAGCTTTCAAGCAGCCTGCTAACTCTTGCAGATCAGTCAACATTCAGCAAGAAAAGTGAGATCCTCCTTGATTTTTTTAAATTTAGCCAGGGAGTGAGGCAATTCATTTGGTCTCCCCATGTTTTCTCCAACGTGATGGGTGACAGTCTTCTTGCAGACCACGTCCTTCCCAGAAAGAACTGCCCTTTACAGTACTACATTTGGGACATTGCTGAACTGACCATGGCTGACTGGCTGAGATGCTGAGTAGCAGTCAGATTTTCTAAGGCAAGACTAGGCTGCTATAACATGCCTCTGGTTTTTTGGCCCTTGTGCACATCAGCAACCATCACTTGCTGATTCACGAAACCAGATTTCCACGGACAGAATGAAAAAATAGATATGTCAGCAAGTGGGTGTAAAGACTCAGAGAACATAAAATGGAATCATTTCCACACAGGGGTTAGTAAATTATGCTATTTCAGACACCCTTTGACTTGCCTCTGAATTTGGCTTAATGATATCATTGGGAATGGTAGGCACTGGTAGTCTCTGCTAAGCAACTCAGTGCCAGCAAGTCCATCCTTGCATGTACTCATTGTGGAGGCTAAAATTAGCTAAGATGTATTTTGTATTCTGCTAAACTTATTATCACAAGAATCCAACAGCCCCAAGAACTGATGACCAGGGATCCTGGTTTTCTTTGATTTAAAAAAATCTCCAATTTTCAGATTTAAAAAAGTAACCCCAAATCCACTTTTTCCCCTCATTTAGAATGAAACACCACTAATTTATAGATACATATATAGATATAGATATCTATATACATCTATAGATAGATAGATATATATATAGAGAGAGAGAGATCGATCTATAGATATCTATAGCTAGATATCTAACGATATCTATAGCTAGATATCTAGCTATAGATATCTATAGATATCTAGCTATAGATATATAGTGGTGTTTCATTTTAATCATGGAAAAATGTGGATATGGGGTTACTTTTTTTTATACCAAAAATTGGGGATTTTTTTAAATCCGAGAAAACCAGAATCCCTGCTGATAACACAAGGCCTGTTTTTTAAGCTCGCACCTGAAGGGTGGTCTAACAAAGGGCTATCCAAATGCTTGTGATGTTCCAGAGTCTGAATCTATCTGTGATCCTTATTCACCCAGTATAAATGGTTTAACCATCTTTCTAAGAGACAAAAATACCCCTAAAGATTTTCTCTCTTGATTTGAAGCGTTTCCCGTTAAAATGAACCTAACATACTTTTTACTGCCAGCAAAGCTACGCGACTTTAACAGTGAAAATATCAGAAAATAAAGCTGATGGTTGTTTGTGTTGCCAACAGATTTGTGGCATTTTCAGGCAAATGACCTATTAGTGGGGAGAGTATGTTTTCTTCAGACAAATGGCTTGCTAATGGGGAAGTTATATTTCTCTCCATGTTTCCAATTTCCTACTTTAAAGCTTAATTTTAAATTAGTTTAATTTCACTAGGTGTTTACGAACCATTGATGGGAAATGTAAGATGAAGGTGACATGCCCCTGTTACTAGCAGGAGGTAATAACTGTATGTAGTGCAGCTGCCAGCCTGCTATACGCTAGGGGCTGGATCTTCAGTTGTGGTAAATGTGAATGCTGATGGAAATGCACCATCAACTGAGGACTCAATACTAACATTTAAGGCTTCAAGATTCACCTGTGTCAGCTGTTGAAGATCCAACCAGCTGCTGATCTTCTCCGTATGTCATGGCTTTGGTTTTCTTTTTCCTTTTGATAGGTGCTAAGGCCACCTTCAAGTTCATTTTGGAACTGGAAGGGGAATTTTTGCCAGATTTGTGAGTGGTCAGGGAAGGCTGGAGACCTATGTTTTTCACTTTGCCATCAAGCACTCTGCTGGCTTTGAACTCAACGACTTCTGTTGTCCTTGGTTTTTTACGTTCATCAGGACCTTTACTTTGATCCAGATTTCTATCTGGAGGGATACAGCTCTCACTTTCCAAGTCCAAGTTACTAAGGCTGGTCTCCAGTGATGTGCTGGCTAGTAGCTGTCCTTGGCTTTTGCCACCTGCCTCTGCATCACCCCCCTTCTCTACTTCATCCTCCCTGGGGACAGTAGATGTAGGTCTTGCGATGCCACGTAAATCCATCTGAGCGCTCTCGCCTGGGCTCTGGCTGCTCGGCCCATCTGGAACTACGTTTTGTGATCTGCAAACTCTCCCTTCGTTTTTCGGTTCAGTCTTGCTTGCCATTTCTGGGACATCTACATCTTCCTCAGCAGGTTGCTGTCGTTCAGCCTCAGGACAAAAGACAGACTTCTTTCCGGGAAGCACGCTAGCCGAGGCCCATTTATGTTCTGTGCAATGGCTGTGAAGACAACAAATGAGATGTTTCATTATGGCACTGACATCATAATCAGGAGTATTCTCCAGGCTATGGATAGGCAGAATAATCTTAGTGAGTCTCCATGCTTTGTTGAGCAGGGACAGACTCGAGCCCGGAAGCGGAGATTTTCATGAAAATGTGCTTGCTTCAGAAAGGCCAGGAACAGATGAAACATTGATTGGAACAACAGGGAAAATACAGCTTTTCCAAGCAAGGGTAATAAATAGCATGAGATCAGTAAATGATATACAGTTCCTCCAGGAAACATGTAAATGGCATGGCTAAATACACTATGTAATCTCAAGTGTAAAGGCAGGACTGATGGGAAATGTGTTCATTGTATTAAGTGCTCTTGTATCGCTGGTCATAATACAGTAGGCTGTAAGACAATGTCAGTAAGCCTTCAAAAGGACCTAGTTAAAATTGTTTCTTCATAAGGAGACCTGCAATTATTGAATGTGAAGTTACTGTCACTGCCTCATCATGTGCCTTTTGCCATGTCACAATGCCACATTGTGCCTCAGCTTCACCACCCGTATTAGGGTGATGATAATTGCAACTAAATGGGAACGGCAATTTCTAGTTTGCAGGAAATTTCATTTTTTCCGAGTGTGTTTATACACCAAATTGGGTAATTTCCACGTAATAACATTTAAAACAAAATGGTTTTAGGTCAGTGGAAATCTTTTGGGTCAGTAAAATGATTTATTTATTTTTGTTCAGATTTTGGCTTTTTTGAAAAAGATTCAATTTTTCAAAAATGTTTAATGCAAAGCATTCTTTCAATGCAAAATTGAACCATTTCCATTCTGCTTATGTTACCTCTACATAGTTTAAAAAGAAAAAAACGAAAACAGTGGGACTTCAGAGCCCCCCAGTGGAAGCTGGCATTAATCATAATGACTGGCACTCGAAGGATATCGCTCAGGGGATGTTGACAGTGACAGTAGGTAAAGCACTAAGATCCCTTAAGGAGCAGCATTTACTATGAAAGGAATGTGGGAAAGTATTTCAGTGAAACCTGGAGCTACGAGGGATTCAATTCTGTGAGTCCTGGGGTGGTATATAGTAGGACGCAACAAGAAAAAACTGTACTAGGAGGGAGAAGAGGAAATAAGCAGTGTTAGGCACAAGGCATGGTTTTTAGATGTTGCAACAGTAAATCTCAAGTCCCCTGGGCATGAACACATTCCCTTGCTCACACGTGCACAAGGTGCAGGCCCATTAGGGCACGTCAGTGAAGATACACCCATGAACAGATCCTCGCTGTGCTAATGAGACCATTAGCTACATGCTCCTGCCATTGTCCCCACTCCTGCCCCTCATGGCAAACATCAAAACAGAGATACTAGCCAGGAGAAGCTTGCCCACCACCTCTGGCATCCTGGGGTGGCAGTAGGGCAGGCTTTGCGGGGGCTATAGCCACCCCAAAATTTGCCTTAGCCCCCCTGTAGCCACCCCTCCCAGCATCCTGCCTCCCCTCAGGGTTGCCACCACTTGCCCCGCACAGCTGAGCCTGCCCCACTCCCACCCACACCCGGCAGAGGTGCAGTGCTCCTGGCTCAGCTGAATAAATACATTTGGCTAGAAGGTGTAAAATGCAGCACCCCAATTTTCTGCCTAGCCCACCTCAGCCCCCACACCAGGAAGAGGCTGATGTCACCCCTACTGGCATCTGCTCTTCTTCCTGTCCCCAGCCTTCTGCAATACGTTCATTTTTGGTTAACTGCAGACCTTAGAGCAGCAGTTTTCAATTTTTTTTTGAGCTGAGCCCCACTTTGAGTGCCTTTGAGTGCTCCTGCAAAGGAGCAGCGCAGCCAGGCGAAGGGGCGCCCCTCATTCTAGCAGGCGCTGTGGCTCAGCTCGGCTCGGCTCGGTGGGGTGGGCTCCACCCGTCGCGGCTTCAGCGCCTCCTGCCTTGGCCTTGCCGTGGCTCTAGGCTGCACGCACGCTGTGACACACTCCTGGAGATGCAGCAGCCCGCTGGCAGAGCCTGTCCAGGGCTCCCCACCCCTGCATCCTGCTACGAGGCTGCAGCGGTGCCAGCTCCTTGCAAACTCCTTGCCTGCACCCCCCACCCCAACATTCCCGCATGTCTCCGCAGGCGGGTGCGCCCCACAATTTGTCTGGGACCCAGATTCTGAGTTATATTAGGGCCTTTTTTCCATGCTGCTCTTGTAGGGTAAAGGACCCTAAAGTGGTAGAAAATTACACCTGACTGCATTCACTTGAAAGCCCCTTTATGCCGCCGATATGGTGGAAAAGCAGGGTAGGCATAAACACTACGTCCAAATCTCCGAATCTTTCCGAATCGATTCAGAGGGATTAAAGGGTCCCCTGATTCGGATTTGGAGATTCGGCCACTGAATCGGGCTATATTTCCGCCGAATTTAATCAGGGACCGAAGCTTCGCACTGCCCTAATAAACAGTCTCTTCCGTCTGCCCTGCAATATTACACATCAGTGACACTGTAGAAATAACAGGTCCTAAATATGTACAATGACGTTAGCTATCAAGAAAGGGGAGATGCTTCCATAGTTTCCTACCCAGCCTTTACATAGCGTCTTTCACTTCACCCCACGGTACTGCTCAGCACCTGATGCACAATATATTTAAGGACCGTTTCTGCCATGCGTGGGGTGATGCACAGCATCTCTGCAACACCACGCAACAGTTTTTTAAGACAGGAAGTAAAGACTATTAGCTTGTCAAAGCTGCCGGCTTAGCTCGTGAGGTTTTGACAAGATCACGCAGCCCAGAGAATAGGCTCGGAGAGCTTTGCCACAACACCGGTGAGATCCGTTCCTGGAGCATTCATTTTGCATATCAAAATATTGACGAAAATTTCCGTGCCGTTCCTTGCTGTCGCTCTGCTTCTGGATCACACGCGCTCTGTCTCACTAATTGAAAACCCAGGCAGTGCCTTGTAAATCAGTCCCTTTCCTTATCTCCGCTTTTGATTTTAGAAGAGCTACACACAGAGCTGCCTATTTGTTTCTTTCAAGGGAAACAAATCTTACAGTGCAGTAAAATAATGGAAAGTCTAACCTTCGCTCAGCAGGCACTAAATGCTTTAGCAAAGCTTTAACGGGCCCCTTTTCCTTCCTTCTGCTTCAAGAGCTTGGCTCCTAGCCGTGCCATTAAACGCTTCTAAAGAAACCAAACCATCCCGGGAACAGTCGCACTGCAGAAGGAGCAATGACTTCCCAAAGGCAAGGGTTGGCTCTGAAATCGAACCTGCCTGTACTGTATTTACCCAGGTTTACAGTACTTGTCTGGCAGGTTCAGAAAAAAGGGGGGAAAAAAAATCCTAATTCTATAAACAAGGGCTTGTCTCCTAGCAACAGCTGCCTAGCTACGGTTGCTAATTGTGGAAGGGTTTCCGGTATTAGCATGCGGAGTGGTTTCTTCGACTGTGTGTGTTTTTTAGATAAAGCTCCATGGTGATAAACGCTAGAGGAGGGGTGCCCGGCGAGTGGGTGCGCAGGTGTGTAGCCGAGAGATAGGGAAACCAGTGCAGTTGCTGGAACTTCTGCCAACTGGTTTTGTTTCCGCTCGGTCTTCCACGGTCGCCTTCAAGCCGTGGAAAGGCCAGGCCTCGGCTCCGCTGATAGACACTCCTCCCGTTTTCGAGGTTACTTGCAAGCAAGCTGCAAAAGCTAATTCCTTTCCTCTCCACTGCACAACCACTCACTCATCACCCGACAGACGTAGACACTGAACGGCTGCAAACAGGCCGCTTGATTATAGTGTATCTTCCCATCCAGTGCAGCGTTAGCAACCCCATTGCTCAAAACTTCACCTCTCCCAACTTCGCAGAAGTCTCTCTGCCGGTACTTTTCGGGATATTGGAGTACATACAGTTCAAAATTAACACTATGGAGGCACAGAGCCAACGGGGGACACACTGAGATTATATGAGTGGGTGTCAAAATATCTGCAATGCCTAGATTTGCCGGAGTATGTGCATAACTTCATGGGCACACCAATGTCTGATCATGAGAGCGATGTGAATAACTGATTTTTTTATTTTTATTTTTTTGGATCACTGGGTGAAACAAAAAGCTGCAAGAAAAATGTATTTCAGGCTAACCCAAGATCAACGTTTTTAGCTTTTTCTGCCAAAAAATGCTTTGATTTAACCTAACGTTTGGGGGAGTTTCAGGGATGGGGCGTGTCTTTCATCCTGTTTAAAAAATTTAATTTTCATAAATGTCAGAGCAAAGCATTTTAAAATGCCAAGCTGAAATGTTTCACTCTCACTTTTGCAGCTGAAAAAAAAAAATGTGAATGTCGTGAATTCCTGAATACTTTCAGTTAGCCTGAATCTGCATTTCTTTCAGTGCAATAAAATATTTGACCTCAAATTTCATCCAGCCCTGTCATGTGAAGAGACATATGTCATACGTTTCTCCTAGTTACAATAACTAAAGAAAGAGAATTAGTGGCTTGCAACATGCAAAGAAACTCGGCGACCTCAAAACGAATGCAGTTGAAATGAGCAATTGGTAGAAACTAAATATTGTTTGAAGAAGAATGGAGCATTTACTATTTTTTTCCAAAAAATGATTAATATCTCCGTCTCCCAAAGTTCAAATAAAAAAAAGAAACACTACTCTTCTAACTGTGCTTTGAAGCATTCTCAATTAAGGTTTGAGGAGGAGTAGCTATTATGAGTTTCATAGACCCACCTGAATTTAATTTCAATTGAATTTCACATCATCATTTGTTACCTAATTGTGTAGCAATAGCTAAACCACATCCTTCAATAGTAACCAAGGTCTTTGAAGTCATAATGACACCTTTGGATTTGAATCCCCTGATAAAGCCCAGGATGCTGCAAGGTGAGACATCAAAAAGAGGACAACTGGGTGCACAGTCTCTCTCAGGGATTTTGCAGAATTATACAGCATGCACCGGGAGAATAGCAACAATTGCTTTGGATGTATAAAAGGCTGCTTATAGGACACTACAAAGCTCCAGCTAAGAAATGTGATCAAAAAGCTCTGGACCGCCATCTATCCTATAGCCTACAATGAATTAGCAGAAATAGCACTTTTACTCCTAAGTAAGTATTCCCTACTAGGTCATTTTACTGCTAGCATAAAGCCTTTAAAGAAAGAGATCTTTGGAAATCAGGGTGGATAGCAAAGATCTTAACTAAATGACCTTGCCCAGCCATTCCATATGGGTCATTTCTGATTGAGCTTTTGACCAGCAAGCCATGCTGCTTGTGACCTTGATGCACTCTGCTTCCATGAGGGTGAATTTTACTGACTGAACATTATTTCTTATGTTCACCTCACTGGAAAGCAAGCTTCTCTGCTGAGGTCAATGGCATGCCCATTTGTGCTATTGGTAAATTGAACCCTCTGGCCTCAATGCATGGTCAAACAACTGGAAAGTCTTGGAATAACTCTCAGGGTATTGCCCAGCACTGACCAAATTTGTAGGGTTTGCCAGGGGGCTGGCACACTCCTGCCAAAAAATTTAAAAAAAATAAAAAGGGAAGGAGGGATCAGGTTGAGTCCCTTCCCAACCACCTCCTTCAGCCAGCCAAAAATAACCAGAGAGCAGCATGCTCCAGCCACGTTCTGCCCCTTCTTTGGGACATGTCCTATACACAGGATGCTTCAAAGAAGATCAGGGTAGAGCTGATTCAGCTACTTCAAGCCACTCAAAGAATCCCCAGGCAGCTGGATCCCTTATAATACCTCCTTTGCATTACCAGAGCTGAATAAAGGGGTCACAATGCAAGAGAGCAAGTGGTGCAGGAAGCCAGCAAGCGGGGAAAGATGGAGCCCTCTTGTCAAGCTGCTGTTGTGAGAAGAACCTCAGGATCATCCCTTGTGAGACAGCATTGGAAGATCCCTAGACTCAAGGTCCTATGGTAGCATGTGCTATGCAAACACTAGGAACCAGCAATACTAGTTACCTGACACAAGTGCCTTGGAGCCATGTCTCAATGGACTTGAAGTGATATTCCATGTCTCCATAGGAGGTAGAAACAAACTTGTAGGAATCAAAGATCTGCAGTCTGCCCTTGTTCCACCTGGCTCCAAGGCTGCGCTCACCATCCCCTAGCCAGATCTCCACATGGACAATGTCATGGAGCTGCCGTTTTCCTGCAACAAGAAGGGCATGACAACATAGCCTCTAAGAGAGCGCTTAAAAAACTGTTGGATGTGCTTAGCAATCTTGAAGGTACTGGGCTGACAGCCCTGGAGAGCGGCGAGGCCCAGAGCAGGCTGGATGTACAGAGTGACTATTCAATCAGTGCATCTCAACTTGGGCCAAAGAGATCACTTCTGCCACTGAGAGACTATTCAGTATCTGTGTCTAAATAGTCATTCATCCCTGCTGACAGAAAGGCTGAAGAAAGCCACACGGATTGATGTTTGTGATCTGGAAGCCTGACCTTGAGAACCATTAAATGTGGCTCAGTAAATGCACTATGCTAAGGCCACCCAACAGCTACCTAGAGGTAACAACCTCAGGTAGCAGGCTTTCAATTCATTCTCGCATACGGGCTGAAAATTTTGAGTTAGGACTGGAAATTTCAAGGGGAAAGCCTTTTGGGTCCTGTCCCAGGTGATGGCGGTGGAGAGGGCAGGGAGTGAAAAATATCCCAAATGACAGCTTCAGATCTCCAAAAATTGCTTGTCTTGCTGGGACCATTTGACCCCAGCAGACTTCCTGCCTATGGCAGGGGAGCTGGACTCGATGATCAAGTGAAGTCCCTTCCAGCCCCTTGTGTCTATGAAATCTATGAAAATGTTCATTTCAAGTCTGATTCCAAGAACGTGTAGAAAACTTGAGATGGCTGGTATTTTATACAAGCTGGACTGCCCAACCACACCTCCCTATGTGTGCGTCTTGCCTGGTCGGGTGGCTCACAGGTGGAGTGTAATGGATGGAGAGGGAGCACGGGGAAGGAAGGACGGTATCTTTGATAACATTACGTTCTGTGTTGAAGTATGTTCCTGAAATAAAGACGAGGTCTCCTGGCTTCATGTGCTCCTTGCTGGGCAAAGTGATGGGGAGCGTGTCGTACTGATACGCCTGGTTTCCAGGGCCGATAAGAAAGCCGAATTCTGTGCTTAAGTCGCGCACTACTCGCCGAATCAGTCCACAGCAATCCAGGAAGAGAGGGGAATTGTACTCTGGAGCTGTGAAGCAAAGCAAGTGCAACACCAGTAGAGGAACCAGCTGACAAAGGAATCCCTCTTCTCTGGTTCAGCAAAAGGAGAGGAGAATCATTTCAGTGAGAAACGAGGAAGGGCAAACTAATGTGGACAAAATCAGGATTCCCAGGCACAAGTCCCACTGCCACTCCACTATGTTTGTACAGCGCCTAGCATGATGCTACTCAGCTCAGTGATGGACTTTAAGCCTCTACCACTATATCACTGCAAATGAAGGTGATAATAATGGAACCTAACTGGGACAATATATACATGTTAAAGGGCTAATGTAGGCTCCTCTTTATCTTGCCTGTGAATAGAGGTGAACATCTCCCTTCTCTGCCCCTTGGCTATTTTTTGCGACTAGCAGAGGAAGAGAATTTTACTTAGGTTTGCAGCCTAAGTGAGGTGGGCCTGTACAAGGAGCTCATTTCTGGGGGTGAAATGCCTGCTGCCGAAGGCCAAGAGTGTGCGAACAAGCTTGAAAGGGTTTGCACTTTGCACTTACTGCCAGGCTCGTGATACTTCCTAGCATAAGGCACTCCGATGTAGCACTTGGCCTGCTCTAGAAACTTCATCCGCAGCTGCCACCGGCAGTCAGGGTCCCCAAGTCGGCTCTGCGCGGCTAGTCTCCACCCCTGGAGCATCTGCAGCTCTTCCTACATCCAAGCATAAGGAAGGCAATGTGAAAACCCAGCAGCCAGCCCCACCTGTTGTTTCCCAAGATGACTTTTTTTCTTTCGAGAAAGAATGGACAGAGTCAGTGAATGCTGGAAACTGGCCCAAACCCAATATCCGACTCCGGCTTGGCCCCCTGTCCTGCAGCACTGGCATGCCAGGCTGGTGTGAATACACTGACGTTCCTTCCTGGAGGTCATGGTGACCTTCAAGAACCTTCTCTGTAGTTTCCTTCTCATGCACAATATATTTGATTAGCTTCAGTGCTTGGCTCATAAAGACCACGCCAGGGCCTTGTCCTTGCTTTAACCTCCGACTCCTGGTCAACCCACCCCCAGTTTAATCTCGGCAGTCATATAGGAAAAGCACAGAGTGGGAGGACAGCGGTGTTGCAAGCCGTGATAGGGCAAATATTTCCAGTGGGGGCCACACCTTCTAGGAAATATTGCCTAATAATTAGAGCACAGGAGGGGTCGAGGATTCAGGATTTCTGGGTTCTACTGCATTGGTTTGCCTTTCCCTTTAATATCACGTACTTCAATTTTCCCACCTACACAACTAAGAAATTGCATCTGTGCAAAGCGTTCCCCTCATTTGAATGTGCTTTGAGATCCTGTCTAAAAACACGCCGTATAAATGCATGTACAAAAAATAATAAGAAACGGAAAGAACTGGATATAGATATTACAGACACAGCAACAGGAAAAACAGGATAAAAGGTATAGTAAAAACGGCAAATGTGGAATTCAAGGAAATTATTCCATCAATGAGAGGGTTTTTTTTAGTGACATGATAAGGTTCAAAAGCAAGTCTGAGTAGTTTGTTTGCAGACTCCTGCAATGGGGATGCCTGATACGGATTATTAGTTGTTCTAAAAGTTTATGGCTGCAGTGTTTCTATGTGAAATGTCTATTTATGTTCCACAATGTCTTATGGGAGCTAAGGCTGCAACATATGAAACAGAAGTGTTATATCCTAATTCTCTGATTGCAAAGCATGTCATCGAGATTTATGTCAGGAATAACATATCCTCCGCAGCAAATACGATAATATGGTTATAATTCTCTTCTGGGTTCTCATGAAATCATAAGCTGTCCAAAGCAAAGAGCATTGGTCCAAAACTAAATGAATACTCCAAATAAAACAAAAATTCCAATAAAATATTACTCATTTGAAGGATTTCTTGACATTTTCTTAAAGGTTGATGAATTAATATACCGCTTTGGGTGTATTCACCAGCATTCATGCAGGATCACAACGTTTTGTAAAGAACTGAGTTGCTACTACCTCTCTCCCCCTATTAAGCTGATAAGGAAACAAAGGTGTGGAGGCACCGACTGATTTGCTGAAGCAGATTTGGAAAGCAGGTAGCAGAGATGCAAATAGGACCCAGGTGTCCTGCATACCTCTCTACTCCGTTAGCGGCCTGACAGATTGATTTCATGGAATGTTTCTGTTCGGAGCAAGCAATGTGATCGCCCCATAGTAACTTTTTCTGCTGGAAAGACAACACCTGGATAGGATCAGCACTTCTTTTTTGGCTTAAATCTTCAGTGGAAACACTATGCTTTTTTTTTTTTTTGGTGCTTTCTACTCTGAAGGGATACAATGCTAGGATGAAACACTGCTCTTTGGGTAGCTTATGTAAGAGGTCTGAGCAAGTTCTACATCTTTATGTTTAAATGAACATCAGCATTTCAGCGTGCAACTAGCTGCAAAGACCATTTGGGGCTGATAGAAATGTACCAGCTTCAGCCATTGGGTGACAGCATAGAGTTTCTTATCACTAGCCCTGCAAAAACTGGACTATCTAGAGAATCTCTTTCATTCAGAGATTTTTTATTAGTGACTCATGTGATGGTAGCTCATGCATTCTCAGAGCCCCCTTTTTTTTGTTGCTAACCTATGGGTCAGTACAATATGTTTCTCTGGAAACAATGCTTTAATAATGTTTGGAAACCAGCCACACACAAGAGTAGAATAGTCAAGATATCTCTTGGGCTGCGTTAGTTTATTTTATTTTATTTTTTGAGGTGCTGCATTTTCATTGTCTGACAGCAGCAATCTTGTCCAAATCATGCCTTTTATGAAGTTAATGCAGTTTTTGGAAGGTGGGTAAAGTCAGCTTCTGGGAGGAAAGGGGGTACGTGCTCTAAAGCAGAGGAGAGGATGTTGGGACCCCAACCTCTCTTTTCAGTTTTGTAACCAATGTACTGAGTTACCTAAGATAAGCCATTTACCCCTCTGTGCCTCAACTTTTCCATCTGTACAATGGAGATGAATGCACTCACAAAAATAGTAAAGGGACTTTTTTTTATTACATTCTCGTGTTAGAGGAGCATAAAGTGTCTTCTTCCTATACAATATGGGTATCAAGTTTACCAGAGTGGCTTTTCCATATATCCCTGATCCAAGGTTTGAAATATTTTGTAGCCAGGATGCATAGCAACTGCACATGTGCTTACAAGAGTGTCCCTTTTTAACACAGAAACAGTAACCTTGGCAGTAATCTCAAGGTGGCTTGAATCCAAAACCTCAGATATGAACGCCTTAGTGCACTGGCCAAGTTCAACTCCAACATACCTTTCCCATCACCTCTAACAGAGCCCATTAAGAAAGCGAGTATGGAAAGAAATGTGCGCCACCACCTTCCCACAAGCATTTGCTGCTGGCAGTGGGAGGAGGGTCTCACTTTGTGCCATGTCACTAAGATCAGCTCACTTCTGAGCTGAACTTGGCATTGAAATCCCTAGTCCAAGTTCCTCCAAACCAGCTTTATCACCATGGGGCTGATTTTCAGAGCTGTCAAACACCCAGAACTCCACTCCGGACCCAGCAGCTGTCAGAATCAATCCCAAATAGAGACTTTTTCATCCATGGCTGAAGACATTTTAATAGCAGTACTCATCCTTGTACTATCAGGGCTTGATCCAAAGCCCAGCAAAGTCAGTGGAACAGTTCCCATTGACTTCAATGGATCTGGGATCAGGCCCTTTGAAATACACAGGGCTTTTGACTAGCAAATTCTCTCTCTCTTTTCTCCCTGTGTTTTCTGAACTGTTTTGCATGCCCCAAAAAGAACCTGTGAATTTAGACCACAACCTAAGCACTAGCTAGTCACTAGAGAAATGCTGAATTCAGCCCAGCAGTCCAGCTTAAATGGCATCAAAATCGGTGGCTGAGGTGTGGCAGTAGAAAACGGAAAAAAAGCCAAAAGCTATTGTGTATTGCCTTTCCCAGCGCTCAGGTTTCTGGCAGCTAGAGGTTAAAATCCCAGTAGCATTGTTTATGTGGGAGTCACCTGCCCTGCCTGAGCGTCTCCTGGCAGATACACATTTAGGCTCGTATTCCTATGTGGTGTATCCTCATAGCAACTGATGCACGTCACCTGTAGTGCTTTTAAGCACACAGCCAGGGCTGAGCATGCAGGAAGCCAGGCAGGAGCCTCTCCAGAAACATGGTTCACTTCCAGCATGTGCCCATGGGTCCTTGCACCAGCTAAGAAAGGACCTCATGACACTCCCCGCTTCCCACTTTGACATTGTGTAATTAAGGCACTGGACTCCCCTTTTCCTCCAGAAGTAGAGCAACAGAGGTTTATGCAGCTACAGCTCAGTGCATTTCAGTCATTTGCTTCTTAGCAACTTGGCTTGCTAGGGAAGAGGCAGAGCACTTGCCAAACTGCTCAGACCTATAGTCTAAGTCAGGGGCGGGCAATTATTTCGGGAGGAAGGCCACTTACTGAGTTTTGGCAAGCCATTGAGGGCTGCATGCCAGGCAGCCAGGGGCAGATAAATATTAAGTTTCTTAATTTGGTGGGGGGGGGTGTCCAGTGGACCAGATAGAATGGCCTGGCGGGCCGCATCCAGCCCCCGGGCCGCATTTTGCCCACCCCGGTAAACTCAATGTCCTCTCTCTGACAGTGACCAGAACCAGCTGCTCCAGCAGAGAGTGCAGGACATCCTACAGAGAGAATTATGGGCTAACCTGGCCCCAGTAGTTGGAGATGGGGTTGCTTTTAACCTCAGGAATATCATGGTTTCATCCCCCTTGGTGGGCACTGGCAATGACTAATAGTGAGCCCCCAAACCCTATATTGAATGCAGTAGCCTAGCTATTCTCCATCCAGGGGCACTCCCAAATTAGGATAGAGCAAACTGCATATCGAGCTGATTGAGTTTTATGATTTCTTGGGCCAGTCAATCAGTCCTGCATCCAGAAAAAAGAAAGGAAACACATGCCTTTTATCAAAAATAGCATACTTTCCAGGGAATAGATTTCTAACAGCCATATGAGTGTTTCACCATCCTGCTGTATCCTTTTCAAGGAGCCAAGACCACCAGCAAACAACTCAGTGCTTCAGGAAGGAGACCAGCAGATAAGAGTAGGACCTCATTCTAAATCCCTGAGGCTGCCTCACTGCATCGCCTTTAAAAAGACATGATGCACTTAACTCAGTAGAAAGACCCCCAATGACTTCAGTGAGGGTGAAAGCAAGTCTGTAAGCATGAGAGAGTCTGGGTACCTAGAGAGCCTATAGGCATCCATGGAAAGTGTGTCAAGTCACTCTGATCTGCAGGTCCTTAACTCCCATGTAGTAGGCATGCTAGTATGTACAAAGCCTGCTGCTCAGAGGTTTTGTGAGCATCATAAATCTGCAAAGGTTTTTGATCTCTTAAGACAACAGGTGCTGCAAAGATGATGATCGTTATTGCAGGGCCGGCACCCTAAAACTTGACTCTCACAAAGCTTCCAGTGATGCTTGACACTTTGCCACAGTAAGTCCCGAGCAAAAGCAGGTCTGGATGTAGGAACTGGGTCAGCAGAACTGCATGATTTGCTAAATCGTTTTGTTTCTACCACATAGTAACTTCATTCCAACTCCTCTTCCCTTGGTGACCAGATGAGTACATCTAGGTCTGGCTGGAGGATACTCAGCACCCTTTGGGTCTCTGATTTAGCTGATGGTGAACTTTGCAGT